ACCTTCTCGTTCTTCCCTTCCGCTTCCGCCGCTGCTACTACACACGCTTTTGCCCCCGCCGGCTCGTCCCACTCCTCTGCTCCTGCTGCTGCTGGGGTTACTAACATACACGCCCATGCCCCCACCTTACTCACTTGCTTCCTTCGTCCGTCCTTGCCCCCACTGCGTAGCCGCATTTCTGCATGGCTACGCAGCACCGCACAGGAGTGTTCTGGCTCCTGCTCCTCTTCCTCCTCCGCGTACAACCCCGCTTGCCCCTGAGTTCTTTCTCCCAGCGCCTCCAGTTGGGCTCGCAATTGTTCGATTTGTCCCTCAATCTCCTCGGGTGATCTCCTTGCCTCCCTTATTTTATCATGGCAGTCCCTGGCCTTATGCCCCTTTTTTCTACACATCGCACAGATCGGTGCATCTGGGCAGTCCCTTCGGCGGTGCCCCGATCTTCCGCACACATCACAGTTCCTGCACTCCCTCCTGATATGCCCCTGCTGCCCGCACCTGTGGCACGTGCGTGTATCTGCTCGCCTCTCCTGCCACTGCTCCTCCTTATCCTCGTCCTCGGTTATCATTGCTGCAGCCCAGCTGGGCCGCCCTTTATCTGACGCCCTTGGCAGGTATGCCTCGTACCGCCTCTGCGCAAGCTCCACTTTCTCCGCCAGTTCAAACACCTCCTCCAATGTTGCTTCAGCTCCCAACTCATACACTCTCATTCTCAGCCCTCCACTCAGTCCTACATCTAAACCCCCCAAGAACTTGCTAATCAACATGCTGCTGTCCGTGCAGGCCACATCCTCTGCTAGGTTAGTGAGCCTCCCAAAGTATGTGAGTAGTGACTCTGCCTTACTCCGCTTAAACTCCTGAAACTCTCGGATACGGTCGGCCGTGTGCCCTGGAAACTGCTTTCTCAGCCGCTCTAGGAACAGTGTCGTGGGATCATCTCCATCCTCCTCTGCCCGCCTCAGCCACTCCGGCATCTTCATTCGGTACAGCGTTTCAGCTTCGCCCCCCAACGTACGCGGTAGGCTTAAGAAAAACTCTATCGGGTCCATCCCGCTTCTATCGCAGCGGTACTTCACATTAGCGATCTGCATCAGGTAATTCTTCAGGTTGCTTCCAGATCCCGCTCCCCCCGTAAAGCGCACCGGCACCTCCACCTGAGGTGGGGCCTGCACACTCCACCTTCCCGTCTCCCAAGTCCCTGAGATCTCATTCCTCCTGCTACTCTCTCCTCTCCTTTCCCTCGACTCCCTGCTCCTTGACTCTGTCCCATACAGCACTCGATAGACACCTTCCCTGGCTGCTCTGGCTCCTCCCGAGCCCAACCATGACTGCTGCGGCCTTCCCTGCCAGCTCTGACTTGGGCTCTTTCCCCGCTCTCTCTCACGAGTCTCCCTATATCCCTCTGATTCCCGCCCCGGACTCTCTCTCTTTTCAGGGGAATATTCTTCCCATGGCTTCTCCCTTCGGCCAACTCCATAGCGTGCAGGTCTGCCACACTCTCCTTCCTCGTTTTCCTTGTCATGCTCAGGCGTCAACTCTCGCCGTCTACGCTGCTCCTTTCTTCTCCCCGAGCTCGTCCCGTACAACACTCTCTCTAGCCCCTCCCGGGCTGCTCTAGCTTCCTTTGATTGCCATGGCCTCCTCGGCCCCAGTGGACTCCTTCCTCGCTCACCCTCATAAGCCTCCCTCCGCTTTTCTGATTCCTCCCATCGCCCTTCTTTCTTCTCAGGCAAGTTCTCCTGATATAGCCTCTCTCGCTCCCATGCACCAGGTCCCTTTCGACCCGCTGGTTTCCCTCGCTCATACTCCTCTTTCTCACTTCCTGTCTTCCCTTCAGGCGACCTCTCCCTCCTTCTGTATTGCTCGTCATTTCTCCTTCTTAGCTCCTCTTTTTCCGCCTTCCCCCTGATTTTCTCCTCAGGTACCTCCCATGGTAGTGCATTCCGCCTTCGCAGCTCCCGTCTATCCTCTTCCTCGTCCCACGGCTCTGGCGATCGTTGAGCTCCCATCTCCATACGCCTCCTCCTCTCAGTTTCCGGCTGTGGCTCCGGCGGTCCGTCTTCCCCACGCATGCGCCCTGTCGCGCGGTCATTCTCCTTGCTCTTGCGGCGCCTCGCGCCACTCCCGCGCACATCCCCTGGAGTGCGATCTGCCTCCGCGCTGCTCCCCTGGCGCCTTGCGCCATTCCCGAGCACCTCCCCTGGAGCGCGATCTGCCTCCGCGCTGCTCCCCTGGCGCCTTGCGCCATTCCTGAGCACCTCCCCTGGAGCGCGATCTGCCTCCGCGCTGCTCCCCTGGCGCCTTGCGCCATTCCCGAGCACCTCCCCTGGAGCGCGATCTGCCTCCGCGCTGCTCCCCTGGCGCCTTGCGCCATTCCCGAGCACCTCCCCTGGCGCGCGATCTGCCTCCGCGCTGCTCCCCTGGCGCCTTGCGCCATTCCCGAGCACCTCCCCTGGCGCGCGATCTGCCTCCGCGCTGCTCCCCTGGCGCCTTGCGCCATTCCCGAGCACCTCCCCTGGTGCGCGATCTGCCTCCGCGCTGCTCTCACGTAATTCGTCCGCCGAGAGACCTGTATCCGCGCTCCCGCGCTGTTTCGCGCAGCCTCCGCGCATCCCTACCAGCGAGCCATCTTTGCCTGCGTCTTTGCTCCATTCGCCGCGCTCTTCGTCTGTTGAGCGACTCGATCCCGTTGCCTTTCCGCACTCTTCGCGTTTCTCTCCGCGGTGCATCTCGCCTCCCTCGCGCATGTCGTCCGGCGAGCGATCTGCTCCCGCGTTCCTTGGATCATCTTCCGCCGTCTCCTCGCCGTCGGCCTCGTTTGCCGACATCAGCGAGTCCGTCTCGTCGGCATCCTCCTGACGCCTTACTCCCGCGCCCCGCTGGCCTCTTGCCAGATTCCAGGGATCGCTCCTCGGCGGCTGGGGTCCTGGCGCCGATCTCGTCTGCAGACCGAGCTCGCCTTCGCCGCGCCGTCCGTCGCTGGTTGCCATCCGATCCACCCGATCCGCCTCTCTCCTAGGCGAGCGACCTGGCGATCTTCCCCGCTCCTTTGAGCGCATCCTTCGCGGCGGTGGTAACTCCCGACGCGAGTACGTCTGCTGCCACTGCAGCTCATGGCAGTCCATTCTGCCCGATCTTCGTTCTCTTGTTTGTGAGAGATTCTGCCTCCCTCACGTATGGCTGCTCACAGTGGCTTAGTCGCCTAAGCTGGAGTTAGCTGTCAAACGGCAACCTATATCCACTATTACGAGCAAACAAACAAGAGAACGGACTAAACAGTGAGTTCCTAGCCTATTTGAGCAGCTACCCCGTGCCGTGCAGTTTCCCGTAAGGCACATTGGGCTCCGCCCGCCAGGCTTCAGGATTGGCCCTTCGGATTGCCCAGGGCTCGCCCTTGAATCTGTCCCACCCTGCACCTCGCAAGTCCCTGGGTCACTACTTCGCGTCACTACCCACGCACCAAACTCACCTTCTACAGTGCTTCGAATAATCCTACTACACCTACACTAGCGAGTAACTGAATATATTGCTAACAACAATCTATTCGGTGACATTGACGAGGTTCCCCCGCCTGGGGCGAACATCGTCAGTGGCATGTGGATTTTCAGGGTGAAGCGGCCGCCGGGTTCTCCGCCTGTCTTCAAGGCGCGTTACGTGGCTCGTGGCTTCAGTCAGCGGCAGGGAGTTGACTACTTTCAGACCTTCTCTCCCACCCCGAAGATGACCACTCTTCGGGTACTGCTGCACATAGCTGCTCGCCGTGACTACGAGCTTCACTCTCTTGACTTCAGCACAGCTTTCCTGTAGGGCAGCCTGCACGAGGAGATCTGGCTGCGCCGCCCACCTGGCTTCACTGGGACTTTCCCTCCTGGCACCCAGTGGAGCCTCCGACGGCCGAAGCACATTGCTCTCCGACGGACTTTCTTGCTCATGAGTTGCAGCAGCGTGGTCAGCTGCGTCTTGCGTGCGTGGCCTCTGAGGCCAACACTGCTGATATCTTCACCAAGGCACTTGCGCCTTGTGACCATCAGCGCTTCTGTACTCAGCTGGGCCTTGTGCCTACCTTGCCTCACTTGCTCACCTCTTGACCTTGCTTGTACTGTTACATATATATATACACCTGCTCTTGCTTGTCTAGCCTTATATATATATGTAATCCTGCATGTGAACTGGCCTTGTGGCCTTGAACTTGTGCTCGGAATGTGTGGTGATTTTGTGATCCACCCTAAGCTTGCTTTGCTTTGCTTGACTGGTCTTGTGACCCCTTGTTCTCCCCCACTTTGCCTATGGGGGTGTGTCAGAACATTGTAGCTTATGCATATTGTGTAGGCTATAGTGGGGTATCCCATAAGGGGTACAACCCAATTAGGGTTAGTACTTGTACCCAATTCATTCATAGTTCATCCATTCTCGTTTCTTCTCAGCCCCGTACATGGTCGATACGTTGATGTGATTGAGGGGGGAGGGAGGGGGGGGGGGGGGGGGGGGTGGGGATGGGGCGTGGGATGGGATGTCTTGATGGGGTGTCTTGACTGGGCGTTTTGATTGGGTAACTTGAGGGGGGGTTTTATGTGTGTTGCATTTGGGTTCTTTTTGGGAGTTTCATTTTCCTTCTCCCTTTCTTTCTCCATTCCCTTTCTTTTTCAGACACACTATGGCGAGACACAAAGTGTTCGTAACCTCGTGAAGAGATTGCTGTTATGAGGGGAAAAAAAATGTTGTAAAAAAAAAAAAAAAAAAAAAAGACTGAGTCGTGCAGCAGAACATGTTTGGTTGGCGAGCGTCCCAACACCTTTCTCTAGGAACAACCGCTCAAAGTGTGCATAGTTTGCCTACATTGGTAATTCAGGTCGTGCTTTTCCTACTACTCGTAGATTGTTCCAAGAGTCCGGGAAAAAAATCGAACATAGCATAGGCCACGATCGCTTTCACGAATATTACGGGACCCTTAGAAATCCAGGCGTATCTATCCTGCGGCCAAAATAGAATCCCCGAACAGATTGATGGTCGTGGCTTATCGGCATGACAGCAACTATGTTAGTGGCGTATCACGTTTTCGATCTCGCTCGCCCTGGCATCGCAACCCCGCGGACATCGCATTTAGGCCCTATCGCCTTCCGCGTTCCACGCGCTTCCCCCCACCGTCTCTCACACACTCCCCCACGCACACCCATGCTTCCCCTCACCGTCGCCCGAGCTCTTCCCCACCGTCGCCCGAGCTCTTCCCCACCGTCGCCCGAGCTCTTCCCCACCGTCGCCCAAGCTCTTCCCCACTGTCGCCCGAGCTCTTCCCCACCGTCGCTCACGCTTCCCCTTACCGCCGCTCACGCTTCCTCCTGCCTTCACCAACGCTTCCCCACATCGTCGCTCACCCCTTCCTTCCTCCACCTTCCCTCACGCTTCCCCGCTCATCGCCTACGGTTCCCCCCACCGACGCTCACGCTTCCCCCCACCGTCGCTCACGCTTCCCCCCACCGTCGCTCACGCTTCCCCCCACCGTCGCTCACGCTTCCCCCCACCGTCGCTCACGCTTCCCCCCACCGTCGCCCACACTTTCCCCCACCATCGCCCACGCTTCCCCCCACCGTCGCCCACGCTTCCCCTCTCATCGTCCTCCCTGTCGCCTGGAAATGAGCCTCCCCGCCGACCTCCCTTCTCTCCCACCTCTCTCCACGTCGTCATCAGTCCCCTGCCTATCACGTTCCACCTCTTCATCACCATTGCTTCTCCACCCACGCCGCCCACCCTCTCATCCGTTCCTATCGGCTTTAGGTTCGTTGTTGCTTCCCTTCCCATTGCCGTATTTGGTCGCTCTCGCTCTCCCCATTGCCACCTTCTCACTCCTACCACCCCATCCTTGCACCCTCCTTTACTTCTCTCATTCTCCCTCCCTCCCTGCCTCTCACCCACCCTGGCCGCGGACGTATGGCGGGCAGGTCTCGAGCACTAGGGATGGGGTCGTGACTCGATCGCGGTGGGATGTCACAGGGTGCATCAGCAGCACCCATCCTTCTCTCTCTTGCACCAACCCTTCTCTCTCTTGCACCAACCCCACACGCATGGCAGGTGCTGCTGCGGCTTTGGAGCAGAGCGCTGGGCGCACAGCCGGGGCAGCGCGTGCAGTTGGGCAGCAAGGAGCGCAGTGCTTCAGATGACAGGGGGCAGGGGAGCGGGGGAGGCAGGGCAGGGGAGGCGGAGGGGAGGGAGAGAGGGTCCAGGCATCCTCCTATCCTATCCACCCTTATACCCTGCCACACTTTTACCTCCTGCCCTCCTCCCTTACTCTGTTCGTTCGTTACCCCACAGTCGTCCTCCCCTCCCTTCTCCGTTGTGAAGGCACCGCTGCAGGTGGACGGGGTGACGGGCCACGTGACGTGGGAATGGGTGGGCTACCCGCGTGTGATTTGCAGGGTTATTCCCAGCCTGCACCATCAGATGTCGGCTCTTTCTCCCCCTCGTTGGTCTACCTGCATCCAGTGCTTCTCTTGTACTGCAGTGGGCCCTTGCCTCTTTGGCGCCTCAGGTGTTTCCTTTCATATGGCTGAGTTACTCTGTCCCACGCTCCCCCCCACCGTCACCCACGCTTCCTCCCACCGTCGCCCACGCTTCCCCCCACCGTCGCCCACGCTTCCCCCCACCGTCGCCCACGCTTCCCCCCACTGCCACCGTTGCCCACGCTTCCCCCCACCGCCACCGTCGCCCACGCTTCCCCCCACCGCCACCGTCGCCCATGCTTCCCCCCACCGCCACCGTCGCCCACGCTTCCCCCCACTGCCACTGTCGCCCACCGCCAGTGGCCAGCAGCACCCTTCTGTCGCATACACGTTCATTTCCCCTTCCCTCATCTCCCCATTCCTCATCTCCCCTTCCCTCATCTCCCCATTCCTCATCTCCCCATCCCTCATCTCCCCATTCCCCATCTCCCCTTCCCTCATCTCCCCATCCCTCATCTCCCCATCCCTGACCTCCCCATCCCTCTCCTCCCCAACCCTCTCCTCCCCATCCCACGCCTCCCCATCCCTCATCTCCTCATCCCTCATCTCCCCATCCCTCATCTCCCCAATCCGCCTCACCCCATTCCGCCCCACCCCGTTCCGCCCCCACCCCATTCCGCCCCACCCCTTTCCGCCCCACCCCATTCCGCCCCACCCCTTTCTGCCCCACCCCATTCCGCCCCACCCCTTTCTGCCCCACCCCATTCCACCCCACCCCATTCCGCCCCACCCCATTCTGCCCCACCCCTTTCTGCCCCACCCCATTCCGCCCCACCCCTTTCTGCCCCACCCCATTCCTCGTTTCCTCTTTTCCTCGTTTCCTCGTCCCTCCTTTCCCGATCCCATCATTCCTCTGCCAAGTTTCACCCTCCTTCCCTCCCTCCTCCCCAGCCTCTCTTCCTCCCCTCCCTTCTGCTTCTCCCCCAAGCATCCTCCCTACCTCCCTTCCTCCCATCATCACTTCCTTCATTCCTGCATTCCTCACTTCCTCCCTTCCTCCGTTCCTCCTTTCCTTATTTGCCAGTTGTCATTCTTTTGCATGCCTGCTTCCCTTATACTTCAACCACATCACATCTGACTTCTGGGTTTGTGATGTGCTGGCTGTCTGATAGTAACACGACGTATAGCCTTGCCATGTATTGGATAATTTGTAATAATACAGGATTATGAGCCTCAGAGCAGTCATACACATGACCAATACCAAGGAGTTCAACAATTAACATATTGCAGTATCTGTAAAATAAGAGGAATCACGAGACTCAAGAAGGGAACAAAGCTTGGGGGTGTGTGTAATGTTGCTTCCCGGTTTTGTCTGCTATACTGCAAGCAATAAACCAGGCCATGTTAAGCCACATCTGGTCCTGGGCACCTGCAACTGCATTGGGGGGTATGGGGGTGAGTGAAGGGGGGAAGACAGTAAACGGAATGAGCAGAGGGGAAGAGAAGAAGCAGCGGGGGACAGATTGAACGGAGGGGAAGAGAGGAAGCAGGGGGGAACAGAGTGAGCAAAAGTAAAGAGAGTGAGGAAGGGGGAAGAGAGTGAGAAGAGAAGAAGGGGAGGGAGCAAGGGTGAAACAGAGGGAGCAAGGGTGAGCAGGGAAGGCGATGGGGGGAAGCAGGGAAGGAGATGGGGGGAAGCAGGAAAGGGGATGGGGGGGAGCAGGGAAGGGGATGGGGGGGAGCAGGGAAGGGGATGGGGGGATGCTGGGAGGGGGACGGGGGAAGGAGGGAAGGGGATGGGGGGAAGCAGGGAAGGGGAAGGGGGAAAGCAGGGAAGGGGATGGGGGGGAGCAGGGAAGGGGGTGGGGGAAGCAGGGAAGGGGATGGGGGGAGGCAGGGGAGGGGACGCGGGGAAGGAGGGAAGGGGACGGGGGGGAAGCAGGGAAGGGGAAGGGGGGAAGCAGGGAAGGGGATGGGGGGAGGCAGGGGAGGGCACGGGCGGAAGGAGGGAAGGGGATGGGGGGAAGCAGGGAAGGAGATGGGGGGAAGCAGGGAAGGGGATGGGGGGAGGCAGGGGAGGGGACGGGGGGAAGCAGGGAAGGGGATGGGGGGAGCAAGTCGGAGGATGAGGGAAAGCAGCGCAGGGGATACGGGGAAACAGGGAAGAAGGGAAGGGTGTATGTGCGGGTTGGAAAGGGGGCGTGAAAAGTGTGCGAGATGGGAAGGGAGAAGGGAGGGATGGCGAGGGCAACGAGGAGTGGAAGGGAGGGCGACGGGGGGAGAGAGAGACGGGGATTGCGAGGGGACGAGCGGGAGCGAAGGCGACGAGCAGCAGGGAGGGCGATGAGACGAAGGGGGGCAACGGGCGGAAGGGAGGGAAAGAGAGCGTGAAGGGGAAAGAGAGAGAGAAGGGGGAAAGAGAGTGAGCAGGGGGGGAAGAGAGTGAGCAGGGGGGGAGAGAGTGAGTATAGGAGTGAGCCGGGAAAACAGGGGCGAGCAATGGGGGTAAGAGAGCGTGAAGGGGGAAAATGGGTGAGAAATGGGGAGAGTGGGGTTAGAACAAGGGGAGTGAGCAGAGGGAAAGAGATTGAGGAGGGGGGAAGCGAGTGATCAGGGGGAAAGAGAGTGAGCAGGGGGAAAGAGAGTGAGCAGGGGGAAAGAGAGTGAACAGGAGAGAGTGAAAGGCAATGGGAGGGGAAGTGAAGGTGACGGGTGGGGAAGCGAGTGTGACGGGCGGGAGAGCGAGTGCGGCAGGCGTGGAAGGCGACGGGAGGGGGAATCGAAGGCATCGGGGGGGAGAAGTGAAGGCGACGGGAGGGGGAAGGGAAGGCGACGAGAGGGGAAGTGAGGGCGAAGGGAGGGGGAAATGAAGGCGACGGGAGGGGAAAGTGAAGGCGACGGGAGGGGGAAATGAAGGCGATGGGAGGGGAAGTGAGGGCGACGGGAGGGGGAAATGAAGGCGACGAGAGGGCGAAGTGAAGGCGACGGGAGGGGGAAATGAAGGCGACGGGAGGGGAAGTGAAGGCGACGAGAGGGGGAAGTGAAGGCGACGGGAGGGGGAAATGAAGGCAACGGGAGAGGGGGGGGGAGGGGGGGAGTGCAGGCGACGGGGGAGAAGTGAAGGCGACGGGCGGAGCGAAGGCGACGGGCACACGACGAGCTGCGGAAGCGACGACGACGACGCGGGCGAAAGAGAGCGGAAGCGTGGGAAAGGAAAGCGAGGGCGAGGGGAGGGTCACGTTTGGGCGAACGGTGGCGATTCGATTTTCGCCGCAAGATTACGCTAGTTGCACAATAACATGCATTTCGACACAATAATCTTCATCCAGCGGACCCTAGCTTTGCGCATCATCATCGAAATCCGCGCCACCCACGTCGTATGGCGCATCTGATCCCATATGAGTGAACGCCGACGCCCTGCGCTATCTACAGGTATGGTCTATACCTAATACTCTACGTGCTATCTCAAACTGTGCACAGTTTGGTATGCTCGCGCATTTCTGGTTGTGGGAAGAACCCCAGCCATCATGGGAAGCGAGAAAGTTTTGTCGCAAATTGGTTTCGCGAGTGAAAGTCTCGCGCAACCCAACCGAGCCTCTCCGTGCCTGCCTCCCGAACCTAGTTTTTAGCGTTGACTTCCGTTGAGTAATTCAGGTCTTGGGCTTTCACCCCCCTGGTCAAAATAATTTAGCTCATGTATACACACCTTACTCACATTCCAAATGGGTTTTTCAAGGTCTTAAATATTATAATCTCTTGCTCAAAAGGTCCTCGAAAAGGACCTATGGCAACGGTAGGAAGGAAATATGGAGGTATAGATGGATGAGAGCCGTGGGGTCTGTGAATGGACGAGGTGTGTGGAATATGGGACACATTGGTAAGATGGTGTGAGTGGATGAGGTGCATGGCGTGATGAATGGATGTTGAGATATGGGACAATTGAGATGGTGTGAATGGATGTTGAGTTGAGATATGGGACAATTGAGATGGTGTGAATGGATGTTGAGTTGAGATATGGGACAATTGAGATGGTGTGAATGGATGTTAAGATATGGGACAATTGAGATGGTGTGAATGGATGTTGAAATATGGGACAATTGAGATGGTGTGAATGGATGTTGAGTTGAGATATGGGACAATTGAGATGGTGTGAATGGATGTTGAGGTATGGGACAATTGAGATGGTGTGAATGGATGTTGAGATATGGGACAATTGAGATGGTGTGAATGGATGTTGAAATATGGGACAATTGAGATGGTGTGAATGGATGTTGAGATATGGGACAATTGAGATGGTGTGAATGGATGTTGAGATACATGCGACAATTGAGATGGTGTGAATGGATGAGATGCATGGGATAGGATATGACGAAAGATAAGATGTTTGAATGGATGAGATGGACGGAAGATACCTAGGCCACTGATGCTGCTCCCTGTTCAGCTTTGAACATTGTTTGTAGAAAGAACGCAACCCTTCTTCCTTAATATGATTTCTACATGTTTATATACAGTTTTATCTGTGAGTTACACATATATGTACTGATGTTTGGCGAGACCTCAGCAATCAGGGGAGCTCGGGCTGGTGCGCGGAGAGCAGTGGTAGAATGCCCTTGTGATTCTGACTCCCTGCACCATGCACGGTACATTGGAAGGATGGCACAACAATGCCTCGCGTCAAATAAGATATACACACCGAGAAATCAGGAGCAAGGGCAATATGAGCATGAATCTCTGTAGGCGCCTCCACAAAACATGCTACAGGGACATGAGCAAGGTGCGACATGGCAGCACCAGGCGGTCATGTCAGGGTGCGGGCACATGGGCATGGATCTCTTGAAGTGCTTCGCTTCAGTGAAACATGCCACAGGTGCATCATGCATGAGCAATATGGCAGCATTGGGGTCGATTTTTCAATCGGCTTTAAGAGCGCCTCAATAAAACATTGCATGGATACACAGGGTAAGTATGCACAAGGTAGGTGCAATAGGGGCAGCATTGGGGTTGTCATGTGTGGGGAGATTGGCATGGTGTATATGAGATGATGAGACAGTGAGAGATGAAAGAGACAACGAGAGATGATGAGACAACGAGAGATGATGAGACAACGAGAGATGATGAGACAACGAGAGATGATGAGACAACGAGAGATGATGAGACAACGAGAGATGATGAGACAACGAGAGATGATGAGACAACGAGAGATGATGAGACAACGAGAGATGATGAGACAACGAGAGATGATGAGACAACGAGAGATGATGAGACAACGAGAGATGATGAGACAACGAGAGATGATGAGACAACGAGAGATGATGAGACAACGAGAGATGATGAGATAACGAGAGATGATGAGACAACGAGAGATGATGAGACAGCGAGAGACATATAAGAGCTCGGCGCATTCTCCCTCGCCCCAGCTGTCTCACTCACAAGTTTTGATTCCGCAATGAAGCCATCAGCATCGCCAGCTGACCTAATCTACCTCTCTAGTGCTCTCTCTGCCTACACTTCCTCCCTTTCCCCCTCCCTCTCCCTCTCCCTCTCCCTCTCCCTCTACCTCTGCCTCTCCCACTCCCACTCTTTCTCCACTCCCTCTCCCACTCACTAGCTTTGTCAGCAGCAGTCAAACCATCAGCATCAACAGCTGCCACGTCAGCACCACGTGCCAGCAGCAGCCGCACCACCCCCTCATGCCCGGCCCCTGCAGCGCGGTGCAGAGCGGTGGCGCCCCCTGCTCTCGTCCGTGCTCCCACTGACGCCCCATGCTGCAGGAGGGAGAGGAAGGGAGGAAGAGCTTACAAATGCAACCTCATATGAAACCAGCCAGTTCTTTCATGCCCCACCCTGCTCCATGCCCCGCCCATGCAGTCCGGTGCAAAGCGGTGGCCCCCCTGCTCTCATCCGTGCTCTCACTGGCGACACTTGCTGCAAAGAAAAGGAAGGGATGGAGCGAGATGACTTTTGAGTCAACTCAAAAGTCTGTTCCCATCGGCGCCCCTTGCTGCAGAGAAAAGGAAGGGATGGAGCGTTAGCCAGTGAAAGTTCATTTGTAGCTGCACCACCCCCTCATGCCCCGCCCATCAAGTGCGGTGCAGAGTGGTGCCGCCCCCTGCTTTTGCCCTTGCTCCCTCTAATGTCCCGTGCTGCAGAGAAGAAGAGGGAGGGGAGTGCTCCGGACTGCATTTCAATGTGCAAGTTGTGACCAGCCAGCCCCCCATGCCGCGTTTCTGCAGCGCGGTGCAGTGCGGTGCAGAGCAATGACGCCTGCTGCTCTCGTCCTTGCTCCCACTGACGCCCCATGCTGCAGGGAAGAAGGGACGGAACGATCGCGAGGGCAACTTCGTCTGTGACCAATCAAACAATCAACTCTTTCATGTTCCGTGGCCCAACTTTTGAGACGTCTCAAAAAAACCAATTCTTTCACGCTCCGTGGCCCAACAATGTCCAATTTCATGTTCTTTTTGGCTTGGGTTAATTTCCACTCACTTTCAGCAACAAATCGCAGATCTCCACGTGCCCTGCACGCGCGGCGTAGATCAGAGGCGTGTGCCCGTTCGGTAGCCCGCTCTCAGAATCTTTTTCGTCGATGCCACGTGGCAAGCATCCGTCGGCGCAAGCGCCTCGATCGAGCAAATAACGAACACGCGCAACGTCCCCCCGTTGCGCGGCGCCCCCAAGGCCCCGCTGGAAGTCCATTTCCTCCAGTGATTGGTGCATCGGGGGAGCGAAGGCGCCATGGCACGAGCAGCAGGCGGCGGAGGCGGTAGTTGCGCACGGGGCTAAACGGTCGTTGTGTAGCGATGAAGCCATTCGTCCTAACGAGCAGGAGAAAGACCTGTTGTAGCAAAATAATTACGGATGTAGAAATGCAAGGTTGTTGTATTGCGAAAAGCTCTCGCGCCTTCCAAACGAGGTCAAAAGGCGACTGGAAAATGACAAATCGCCGATGCCGGGGATCGAACCCGGATCTTCCGCGTGACAGGCGGAGATACTGACCATTATACTACATCGACACGAAAACTGTAGAATAGTAATACATTTAGTCCACTATCTGTTTGGATTTTGCTGTCGACAGTCCACCTGCGACCACATTTTCCTTAGGCTTCTCTACTTGTTTTGTGGTGTGGCTAGACCAGATTCTGATCTTTGCCCACCAAGCAAGATGGCTGCCAGAAATGTTGTTACTGAGATCCTGAAGAAGCGTGGTCGCCTCCCTTCACTGTTCTCTCCGCGTGTGCTTGTGAGTATCAGGTGAAGTAGATAGCCGATCACGTCTCCCATTCAAAGGCGTTACCTTAGCCACTCGTATTCTGCATTGCAGGCAGACGCGGTGCCGTGCGCGGTTCTGAGACATCCGGCCGGTGCAGCTGGAACTGCAGAATCTGTAGGAGTCACTTCTCCTGTGACCAACGTGAGTGGTTCAGTTGATCTGGATCTTTTAGGACTCATTTTGAAATGGTGTACTTTGTAGGCAGTGTTTTGAACTCAGACAGTGTGCTGAAATATGATGGCGTACCTCTGAACTCGGCAGAAATGGCGTCGTCTGGGATGGCTTCTGGCCGCAGGTGGAATCGCCACGCTTCCGACATTCGTCAGCACTTCCGAATCAATCGCCCTTTCGGAAGCCTCATCAGAGGTAGTTACCGTCATATTGCTTTCCGTTTTCTTCTCCTTATCGTGCTAGCCGGTAACTGATGTCTTCTTTCGCGTCCGTACAGGAAAGTAGTGCGGGGAAGTCTGATGCCGGAGGACCAGATGGGTCGTTCAAACCGCAGATCGTCTTCGTCCTTGGTATGTTCCTCGCGTCATGATCCGTTAGCCGTAGACGATGCAGAGTTTTATCCAAGCTCTCAACGGTTCTGATCGCACGAGCAGGTGGTCCTGGGAGTGGCAAGGGAACTCAATGCGCGAAGATTGTCGAGGAATACGGATTCACCCATCTGAGCGCTGGCGATCTTTTACGTGCTGAGATCAAGTCTGGATCTTCTCACGGGTAAGAAGTCACCCCCCACCCTTCCCCCCACCACCCCCCCCCCCCCCCCCCCCCCCCCCCCCCCCCCCACCCACTCTCCCCGCAAGTTCGCGTGCATTGATGTTTCGCTGCTGAAGTGCACGTTCTTCTTTTGCTGCAGAAACATGATTCAGAACATGATTAAGGATGGGAAGATTGTTCCAGCCGAGGTCACTGTCGGTCTTCTTCAGAAAGCAATGAAGGAGAGTGGGAATAATAAGTTCCTCATCGATGGGTTTCCTCGGAACAACGATAACAGGACAGTCTTTGAAAATCAGGTATACAAAAACTGCTAAAGTATTTGTTGTTGTCTGAGTGTATTGGCTCGGAACCTGACAGCTCTTCGTTGCTTGCAGACTGGCATCGATCCTGAGTTCATTCTCTTCTTTGATTGCCCTGAGGACGTGATGGTCAAGCGTCTTCTTGGAAGAAACCAGGTGAGCTTTCTGGCCCTTTTCCCTTGGAAAAAACGAGAGATATTTTACATGTACTAATTTGACTTTTCATCTTCTGCAGGGACGAATTGACGATAACATGGATACGATTAAGAAGAGATTTCGGGTTTTCTTGGACCAGAGTATTCCAGTTGTGAACCATTATGACTTGCGTGGCAAAGTGCGAAAGGTCAGTGACTGTCATCTTGGATTATTCTGCTTCCGACACTTCTACCTTATTTTAGGCAAAGTCCGAGTTCGCCCATTCAAATGCTTGCTTTTGCATCACCATTTTGTTGTCTGGCCCTGTTTGTAGTTTGGCAGTGTCATATTGTTTGGAATGACTGATGTCATGAGATTTTGCCGTTGCAATGCAAGCTACCGTGACTCCACTGACTTCCATGCAGGTTGATGCCACCCGTTCCCCCGACGAAGTGTTCCAAGCAGTTTCCCCTCTTTTTACCAAGTTTCGTGAGGTATGCAGCAGCTTCCTCTTCTGTGAAAATACTTTTTTGCCAGAAAGTTTAATGCTCACAGTTTTTCATTGTCACAGGGTGATTTGCTTGATAACACGAAGGCCTTGCTGAATGCCATTGACACCGGGGATTACAAAACGTACTCCAACCTCTCAGACGAACACCTTTCTGCCTTTGAGCCTGAAGCACAAGGTATGTAGATTTCCATGCCAGGATGTATTTTTTCCAGTGCACTTTTGCATGGTTTCTGACGGTTCACTCTCTGGCTCACAGGTGGCTTGGTCAAGGGCCTGGAGTTCCACAAATACTATTTTGATCGCAGCACAGGGAATGGTTCATCAAAGTCCACAATGGTCGCACCCCACGTTGCCATAATTGGCAATGCTGGAGTTGTTTCCTACACACGTCTCGTTCAAACGACTGATGCTTCGGGAAAGGTGGGAAGCAAAGCGTTCAACGAAACGAGAGTATGGGAGAGGCGGAAGAGTGCTGATGGAGCTTGGGAGTGGAAGAACATTCACTTTCACCGGTCCCAAGCGTAGGTAATACCGTACCAGATACGGCACTGGAACTGGTGGATTCTGTCAGAATTTACAGGTAAGCCACTGAAACAACAGTGTTTTTTCAGTCCCGTCTTAGTTACACAGGAAGGAGGCATCTGGATGCAGTGGAGTAAACTGGTACCTGCCTTTTTTAAAGATTGAAGTGTTATACTATCATGGGTTTAAGTACCAGATGTTATCACGTGGAATAGCTCGACTGTAGTTAATCAGTGGAAACTCTTAGCTGTACAGGAGGAATCAACAGAGACAGTTTTGTACAAGTGAGTGTCCGGTGTGGCCGGCAATCGTTAACTCATTCGGCGAAAACTCGGGCTTCTCAACATGGAGCTGCGACATGTTTGACCCTGCTACCAGATACACTTTCTTCCTGACGAACTCTGACGAACCCGATTCCACCTCACCCGCCGCCATGTGTTGGATAGGCGAATTGCGGGGAATTGGGGATCTGTTGCTGGTAGGGTGGGGGAGAATTGGGGGGAGGAAAATCCCGGCCTCGCTCTGTAAATTAGGGCTGGAGGAGGAATGGCGCTGTTTCTTGTGGATTTGGGTTGGTTCAACTCGTCGTCGCCCCTTCTCTGCCGCAAGAGCCGCTGGTTTCTCTTCACAGCCACAATCCTCCGTTTCTTCTTTCGACCGTTTCCGTTTCTTATCTTTCGCTTGGCACTGTAGGCTGTGCCGCTCGAGGACGTGTGAAGTGGTTAGGAAGACTTCAGCAAGAGTTAGCTTGAACGGCGGAGCTAGGGCATCGTCTTCGTAAGTCCGCTTCCGGCGGAACTAATACACCCGTTAGTGTCATCAACCCCGCGTACTATTGGTACGAACGAACTGATTTCTTAGTGCGTGCTGAAGAAGCTAATATGGAGGACGGCAAAGAAGCCGTCGCCCGTCCAGAAAACGGATCTGGCGCACCGCCGAATGCGCAGATGCCTTTTGAAGCTTCTCAAAAGCCATCCGGCGTCGCGACAAATCTCCCGCAACTTCCGCCGCCTGTTGCGCGCGGCTTCGAGCCCCCCCGAGACCCATCTAGAATTCACACCTCCCAGAATATACCCTCGCAACTAGAAGCTACCCCGGGTTCTACCCCCGGGACCGTTACTGGCGGTCACGGAATCGGGAAGAATCCAATCGCCGGTCCCGGAATTCCCGGAACATCCGGAAGCACTTTCGCTGGTCAAACTGGTGTCGAAGGAAGCGGTCCGAGCACGCCTGGCCCGCCGGTGGCCTTTATCGGCGGAACAAGCGGCTCGTCGGGGATGGAGACTACTCCGCAACAGACGACGCCGCCGGGTCGCGGCGCGGATACGAAGGCGTTTATTAAGGAGCTTCAGGCGTTCTTCGAGTCGCGCCATCAGGAGTTTAAGGTTCCGAAGTTTTATGGCGTGGAAGTCGATCTGCTGAAGTGAGTTAATTACCAGGTTACAGTGGTTCTATACCTATTCTCACGAAAGGTATGGCGTCGTGCTAGGGTATTGAAACGGGCTGCGACACTCTCCCTCACCTTCTCCCCCCCCCCTCCCCCCCCCCCCCCCCCCCCCCCCCCACAACTTACTATCCTCACGCTCTTTTTCGCCCTCTCTCGTAGTCGCGCAATCATTCCGGCCTTTTATGGTATGATACGATACGAGCTCCGGAGAACCTTCATTATAGGTATTTGTCGTATCTGGGACTGCTACAGGGCAATCCCGTCGGCAGTAGCAGCAGCAGCAACAGCAGCAGCAGCAGAAGTTGCAGCAGGAGCGTTGTAATGGCCATTTTTTATTTCGCTGTCTCGCATTTTTCTCTGGCGTTACCGCGCTGTGATTCTTGAGGCTCCTCAAAACTCGATCACCATGTTGCCTCCCTTCCATGCAAGCGTTCTGTAGGTGAAGGTTTTGTTCCTTATCGTCCGTTTCCCCCGTTCTTCCCTCTACTCGCTTCCCCTTTCCCCCCATGCCCTCTCCCACCCGTCCTCCCCCTCGCATCCCTTCCGCTCCACCTCCTCATTTTGCAGGCTCTGGCAAGTCGTCTGCTCCTTCGGTGGCTTTGACAAGGTGACACCTTTGCTCCTTCATTTTGATGGCATGCTGTGTGTGTATGCGACGTTTTGAATTCTGACTTTGACAGGGTAGCCATGTTACTTTCCCTTTTGAGAAAGACGTTACGACGCCATCCTTTCAAGGTCTCCCTTGCTTGTTGTCTCGTAACTGCATCACTCTCAAACCAAATTTCCCTCTTTTCGGTTCCCAATCAACAGGTGACTAGTGGCAAGCTCTGGCGCGTCGTTGGGGACCAGTTCGACCCTCCCAAGTATGCCCTTCTGCCAGTGCCTCCATTTGTTTTTGAGGCAGCTTGATTATTTATTTATTTATTATTATTATTATTATTATTCGCTCCATCAGCTTTCGCAGCCAGCTATCCTGTCAGGAGAATGTCCAGCAAGATACTGACCTCCACTTGAGGCAACATTCTCACTTATGGCTGCTAAAAGATGCCAGTAGATCCTTCTTCACTCTCACTTACTCACTCACTCTCACTCACTCCCTCACTCCCTCCCTTGCTAGTGGTAAACGTCTACGTCTGTCAGTTTTGTTCCATGCTGAATCGTGTTCCATGTTCGGTGTGTTCCGTGTTTGCTTGCGTGCAGGTCTTGCACAACACTCTCCTGGTCCTTCCGGGGTTTCTATGAGAAGGTGCGCTTCTCCACCATGACAGGGCCAGTAGGTTCTGACAGGGCTGGTGGGTTCTGGCAAGTTTTTCAGGGCAAATAATTTCTTGTCTTCCACAAGATTGTCGTGAGACCCTGGAAAATACACGCTTTGTGCGCATGCTTTGATCGCATACCATGCTCCCCACTTTCTCCCATCTCGCCCCCTTCGTCCCTCCTTCCCTCACATGCAACCCTCCTTCCCTCACATGCAACCCTCCTTCCCTCCCGCCTCCAGCCTTTACTGGAGTACGAGAGGCACGTGGTCGTGGTCCCCTTGCTGGAGGGCACCTCTCTGAACCCCTCTCAACCCTTTTCAACCCCTCCCAACCGCTCCCAGGCGCTACTGGAGTACGAGAAACACGTAGGCGTGGACCCCATGCTGGAAGGCACTCTCGCCATCCGTCTCTCTCACCCCCTTGCACCCTCTTTCACCCACTTGCACTCCCGTTCACCACTCTCTCACCCCTGCAATCCCAGGCGCTACTGGAGTACGAGAAGCACGTGGGCGTGGACCCCATGCTGGAGGGCACGCTAGCCATCACCTGCTCTCACCCCTTTGCACCACCTTGCAACCCCCTTAGGCACTGCTGGAGTACGAGAAGCACGTGGGCGTGGACCCCATGCTGGAAGGCACTCTATAAACATCACCCCCTCTCACCCACTTGCACCCTCTTTCACCCACTTGCACCTCCGTTCACCCCGTCTATCCCAGGCGCTACTGGAGTACGAGAAGCACGTAGGCGTGGACCCCATGCTGGAAGGCACTCTCGCCATCACCCCACGCACGGACGGCAAGCATCACCCGGAGGTGGGTGGGATGTGGGGGTGCGGGGGTGTGGGGGTGCGGGGGTGTGCGGCTGCGGGGGTGTGGGGGTGCGGGGGTGTGCGGCTGCGGGGGTGTGGGGGTGCGGGGGTGTGCGGCTGCGGGGGTGTGGGGGTGCGGGGGTGCAGGGGTGTGGGGGTGCAGGGGTGTGGGGGTGCGGGGGTGCAGGGGTGTGGGGGTGCGGGGGTGCAGGGGTGTGGGGGTGCAGGGGTGTGGGGGTGCGGGGGTGCAGGGGTGTGGGGGTGCGGGGGTGTGGGGGTGCGGGGGTGCAGGGGTGTGGGGGTGCGGGGGTGCAGGGGTGTGGGGGTGCGGGGGTGCAGGGGTGTGGGGGTGTGGGGGGTTCCGTTGCTGGAGGGCACTCTAGCCATCACCCCACGCACTGACGGCAAGCACCACCCGGAGGTGGGTGGGGTGTGGGGTGGTGGCACGGGGTAGTGGTGGGCATGGGGTAGTGGTGGGCATGGGGTAGTGGTGGGCACGGGGTAGTGGTGGGCGCAAGAGAGGGATCCGTTGCTGGAAGGCACTCTCGCCATCACCCCGCGCACCGATAACAAGCATCACGGCGGGCAGGAGGTGGCTGTGCTGCGTTCTGTGAGCCCCTGCCAGGAGGTGCGGTGCGGTTGAGTGAGGTGCATGCTGGTGTGGTGTGGTGTTACCCCATGTGTCTGGTAGATCTGATTCTGTTGCTTGGATTGCAGCAGGGGGACAATGTGCTACGTGGAGCCAAGAGAATGGTTGAGACTGGTTAACCTAGTATTATATTATGTTTACCCGGTTTTTATGCTTTGATCACAGCAGGGGGGCAGTGGGCCACGTGGAGCCAAGCGATTGGCTGCAGCCAAGACTGGAGCCGCTGATGGGGATCACACGGATACTCCCAAGGTGAGTTATTTTAGGTAGCTTGAGGAGCTGAGCACGCAGCAAATTTGGATTACTTTCACCAGCTTGTTAATGCGGATGTACCACACTACTTCTTCCCCTCACTTCCCCCTCACTTCCCCCTCACTTCCCCCTCACTTCCCCCCCACTTCCCCCCCACTTCCCTCCCCACTTCCCTCCCCACTTCCCCCCCACTTTCCTCCCCACTTCCCCCCCACTTCCATCCCCACTTCCCCCCCACTTCCCCCCCACGCCTTAACAATTCTGCCAATCCTTTCCTCTCTCCTCGTCTTGTCCTTCCCCTCCAGTTCTCTTCCTTTACTTCTCTCTCCGCTCTCCTCCCCTCTCTTCCCTCTCCCCCTCTCCTCTCCTCTCTTCTCCCCTGCTTCTCACATCTGGTTTTACATGTCCCTCCTTACGTTTCATAACCCTCTCTCCCCTCTACTCCTTGCTGTTCACATCTTGTCTTGTATTGAGGAGCACGGCATCCCAGAACAACCTTTGAGGCGCCTCAAAAGTTATCTTGTATCCAGGAGCGCAGCACCCCAGGATCTGCCCCAAAGCGGCTATTTTCTGAGGCGCTTCAAAACGATCGTCTCAGTTCTCCCCTTCGCCCTCCCTCCCGCTCTCCCCCCCTTCCGCCTCCCCCTCTCCCCCTCCCCCCTGCTGTGCGCTCATCTTCCGTCCAGGAACGCGGCACCCCGGGATCAGGCCCAAAGCGGCACAGACGGACCCAGGATGGAGGTGAGAGAGAGTGAGCGAGAGTGAGCGAGAGTGAGGGAGGTCATTCCATGCCAAAGCATGCTGAGCCCATGCCAAAGCATGCTGAGCCCATGCCAAAGCATGCTGAGCCCATGTCAAAGCATGCCGAGCCCATGTCAACTCGTGCATTGCATACATGCATGCAAGTCACTTGAATACTTCCTTCCCCTCTCAACTACCGTGCAACACAACACACTCGATTCTCTCAATCCTTGGCACAACACAGTATCTTTCCTCCAACTCCTTTCCCCCCTTAGTTTTTTCCCCTGAAATTCATCCCTCTCTGAATTTTCGCTCTCACCCCCATGCCTCTCTACTGCCTTATCAACTTTTCCAGTTGGATTAGGAAAGATTACCTTTCTTGTTAGCCGTTGCAAACTTTCATCCGCTTGATCCATTCTCAACCATTCTCATCCAGACCTCATTCTCTTGGCTCTCCTCTACTCCTTAATCGCTACCTCCCACACTCCCTGCAACCAACAGAGGAAACACCTGAAGGAACACCTGGGGCGGCGACCAGGGCAGCAGATGCACCCCGCCCGAGAGGCAGGCCGCCTGGGAGTGGGGGAGGTACACCTGGGGGAGGTGGCACTTCTGGGAGAGAGGGGGGGCGGCGGAATGCAGGGGATGGGGGAGCGGGGCGAGGGGGAGTGGGAGGAGCAGCAGTGGGAGGAGGGGGAGTGGGGGTAGCAGGGGGGACAGGGGGAGGAGTAGGGGGTGAAGTGGGGGGGGGAGTGGGGGGAGGGGGAGGAGTGGGCGCAGCAGCGATGGATGATGGGGCGGTGGCAGTGGTGAACGATTTGGGTCTGCCGGCTGACTGGGTTCGAATCAACGTCCGCCGATCGGTACGCATGGGCTGGGATGGGTCGGGATGGGCTGGGATGGGTTGAGAGGGAGGAGGGGTGGGGGGGGGAGGGGAGAGCAGCAGCGATGGATGATGGGGCGGTGGCAGTGGTGAACGACTTGGGTCTGCCAGCTTACTGGTTCAAATTAACGTCTGTTGATCAGTACGCATGGGTTGGGTTTGGATTTAGTACAGTAAATTTGGGGTCATTTCAAGACTCACACTCTTGAGACCTTTGTTCTCACCTTGGCGGTTTGCTCGTCCATAGCCCCTCCCACCTCCTCAGCTGAATTGCTTCCTTCTCTGCTCTTCTCAAGTCCTATTTCCAGGCGGGTTTTTGAAGCGCCTTGAAACTCGTATCGCATACAAGGCTAGTCTTCGTTTCTCAGCCCTGGCAACTCCCATTTCATCCTTTTCCCACCCACCCGGCCCGTTCCCACCCGGCCCGTTCACAGCCGGACTGCTTTGAGATCTACGCTCTCGTCCCAGGCCTGCTGCGGGAAGAGGTGAGCTGAGTAGAGAAGGCTCCTTCAGGCCTTATGCGTTTTTTTATTCATTTATTTTTATATACTTGGTTTTTTTTTAACTTTTCTTTTTGCGCGCACATCTTCTTGAATTATGTACCACACTTCCTCTCCGTGCATTTTTCTTTTGAGTCGACTAGAAAATCACTTCATTCCCACCCCTAATCCTGTGCGATCGAGTGCAGAGTGAGCCATCAGGCAAACTGGTCATTGCAGGGGAGCCACAGCAACCCTTACAAAAACCTCTTCCCCGCACTTCACCACTTCTCACTCTTTCTGTTCTCTCTCCAGGTGCGCGTGCAGTGTGAGCCGGCAGGGAAGCTGGTCATTGCAGGGGAGCCAGAGCAACCAGACAACCCGTGGGGAGTGACGCCATTCAAGAAGGTGAGAACCGTTTGGATAGCCTTTTTGAGGCGCCTCGTTTTGAGTCATCTCTAAAACCGGACAACCAGACAACAAATCGGGAGTGACACCGTTCAAGGGGGTGAGACTGCAGCTGTTATATGCCTTTGTGCTGTCTCAACAACATGAGAGCGTATGTGTCTTCGACTTGTGTGGGTGCCTCGATATTGGAGCAACTGTGAAACCTGTGGAGAGTCACACCATTCATTTGAACGTGAGGTCTCTGCTTTGTTTACCATGTGAGAAGTGTTTAAAGGGAAAATTTCCCATTCACCTCCTTTTCAAAGTACTCTTTTTGCAATGCTTTTTCAATTCACCTATTTTCTATCCAGCCTTTTCCCCTAACTTTCCTTTCACCTGGCTTTCACCCTTCTTCTCCCCTCCCACCCCATCTCTCTCGCAGCGGGTGATTCTTCACTCCTGCTGCAGCCATCAATGCAAATTGGATGTCAGCAGTGGTAACCCTACACAGTCATTTGTATTTGCGAGTCCATCTCTCCCTCCCCCTCCCCACCTCCCTTCTCTCCCTGCAGGTGATTCTGCTGCCTGCAGCCATCAACGCAAATCAGACGTCAGCAGTGGTAACCCTACACGGCCAGCTGTATGTACGAGCCCCCCTCGCAAACCCTGCCCCCTCCGCCCTCTCCCCCCAGCTGACCCCCATCCCCGCCCCTGAGCTTCCCCCTCCGCCCCTGCCGCCGATGGGGGGAGGGCAGGGGCAGGGAGGACAGGGGCAAGGGGGACAAGGGCAGGGGCAGGGGAATCAGGGGAATCAAGGGCAGATGGCGCAGGGGCAGGGGGGGCAGGTTCAGGGTCAGGGTCAGCAAGGGGTGGTGGCGCAAGGAATTTCGCATGCACATGGGCATGGGTATGGGCATGGGCATGTTAAGCAGCAGTCTTTCACTCAGGAAACTAACAGACAGATGATACCCAAGGATGAAGGTGTGGAGACCTCGCCCCTGCTACAGCAGCAGCAGCAGCAGCAGGGTGGGATTGATGCAAGGGCAGGGCCACAGCAGGGACTGGCAGCAGGGCATGCAGCAGGAATGCAGCAGCAGACAAACCCTAACCAACTGTTACGGCACCAGCAGCAGCAGCAGCAGCAACCGGTGCAATCTCAGGTGCAGCCAGCACAGCAGCAGATGCAACCGCCTAGAGGTGGGCGATCAGCTGATGTGGATATGATGGGTAGGGATGGAGGTGAGGGGTTGAGGGAGGGTGGTAAGGATGGGAATGCGAGTGTGAATAAGCCGAATTTTACCACCGAGTCGCAAAATGGGATGGTGCAGCAGCTGCAGCAACCACAGCAGGGGAAGCAGGCGGAGCGGGAGACTGGTAACAATGAGATGAAGATTGGTATGGCGGTTACTGCTGCTTCGTAACCAGCAATAGAAGTTTTAGCATGAGTACACCAGTGTGGACTGCAATGACATTGATAACCCAAGAAGTGTTGACAGTTAACATGTGCTGGTAAAAAGGCCCGTCACCGAGAGTCATCATGGGTCATGACTTGCAAATAGATTGCCACACATGGTGTTGTTAATGTTGAACTATGTTGTAGAATGTTTTTCGTGTTGAACTAAGCTACTGAAGACTTGTAGACTGTTGCTGAGTTGTGTATGTATTGCCGTACTCATTCCATCTTTTCCTTATATTGCCCATTGATGGGTCACATTATACCATTGCTGACCCTGTAAGCCTTCAGTAGTTTGACAGCTCTTACTGTATTCAATTTGTGCTAGCAAGTTTGCAGTAGAACCAGAATTATACTATTGCGGTCTCCGTATTGCGTCTTTCGAACACGCCATACTCCTCCCCGATACTGTAACCCTAATTCTAATCTCGAGGAATCCTTTACATCAGAAGGGACTGAGGAGCCACTTACCTCTTCCAGCCGCCTTGGAGCGCAGATTAGGAGGGTGCAACGGTTTCGCGATCCGCCCGCCTTCCTTTCTAGACTTTCGTTTTCGTCCCCCTCTCGGCCGCCGCATTCACGTCGTTGCCGTCACCGTCAAATCCACCACCGAATCCGTCAATCCACCTGGACGAATCCGCTCGTAACGTTTTCACCCCTACACGTTCACGTAGCCTCATCGGACCTCCTTCACGCGATCCTTTACACGAAGTCGATCAGCGACGCAGCGACACCAGGCGACACCAAGCGACGCGATGGGGATCTTTCTGGACGAGCCCAAGTTCCCGGTGATCGATCGCACGCCGTCGTTCGGTCGCACGGTTGGTAACTTCACGTTCAGCGACTACAAAAACGTCGCCACGTTCACCGCCGTGTCGCTACCGTTCGGTTACCTCGCAGGTACGTCGTCGACGTAGACGCGGGCCGGTGTTGCACATGCGTTACGGAACGAGACGCTTCGCTGTTTTTTTTTCCTTGACGCGCCTCAAAAGGCGGCGCCTCAGAAATCCTCGCATGTACGGCACTGTTCAGGAACAATTACAATGCACGATCTCTGCTTAAGGATTTCCAGCATCATTCGTTTGACCAAGGTAGAAGTTATATTTCAACGTATTCGCAACGGCTCCGGCATTGTTGTCCGTGTTTTCTGATTTCTAAACCGGTGTGCTTATGAGGTGTGCAGAGTGAGTGCTTATGGCATAGGGTATGCTCATGGCAGGGGTGTGCTTGTGGGTTGTGCTTATGGGTGTTCTTATAAGGGGGGCCATTCATACAAGCACACATTCCAGCTCTTTATATGTTCTCGCTTCTCCTAGCCTCCGCTCGTGTTTCCTCCCTGTCCCAAAGCATAATGTGGAATCGCCAATGTGAAAAGCCCAGCATGTACTGTACACGTTCTCTCTGTTACCTTTCCCCCAACACTCCTGAAAATTCTCAAAAGAGAGCTTTTCCCCCTACACTCCTCCTGACGTCTCTCCCTTCCCCGTCCCATTGCATTAGGTGGGTGGCAGCACCAACCTGAGGGGGCCAGCATGTACTGTCCTGGTGCCCTTGGTCTGACAGGGGGATTATGTATGTGCACCGCAATCACATGGCCACATGGCGTCTCTATGGCATGTCCCCTCTTACCCTCCTCTCGTTTTCTCCCCATCCCACTGTCCCACCGGCATTAGGTGGAAGCGCCAACCTGAGGGGGCCCAGCATGTACTGTGCCGGTATGCTCAGGCTGATGGGCGGTTCATGTACGCGCACCAGGGTTTAGGGTGTACGCGCACACCCAGGAACCACATGCATTCCCTATGTCTCACCTTCCCCTTCACTCCTCTCGTGCCTTTCTTCCCCACCCCATTATATCAGGTGGAAGTGCCAACCTGAGGGGGCCCAGCATGTACTGTGCGGGTATCCTCGGGCTGATGGGGGGATTCATGTACGCGTACCAGCAGTCTTCTGGGCGGCTCATGGGCATGTTCCCGAACAAGTGGGAGGTGGATCGGGAGAAGTGGAGCAACTAGAGGAGGAACTAGGGTGGTTGTTTTAGGGGAAATGGGCAATCTTGGAACAGTACTAGGCGATTGCATTGGCATGAAATGTAATACTTACACCACAATAACCTTGCACATATATATCTTCACAAGGTCTTGGTACTCGTATACACAAGCCTACTTGTACACTCGATTCTCCTCAGCAGCTAGTCAGTTCTTTATTATGAAGCACCTCAATCGGCCGCATCTTAATCTGTCTCGAGTAGCACCCACTAGTGCCCGGGCTACACTTATACGCATACTTCTGGCTACCTGAAGTGGACGAACCAATCACATTTCCTTTTGAGTCCACCTGAACACTGAACGATTTGGGTCTGCCGGCTGACTGGGTTCGAATCAACGTCCGCCGATCGGTACGCATGGGCTGGGATGGGTCGGGATGGGCTGGGATGGGTTGAGAGGGAGGAGGGGTGGGGGGGGGAGGGGAGAGCAGCAGCGATGGATGATGGGGCGGTGGCAGTGGTGAACGACTTGGGTCTGCCAGCTTACTGGTTCAAATTAACGTCTGTTGATCAGTACGCATGGGTTGGGTTTGGATTTAGTACAGTAAATTTGGGGTCATTTCAAGACTCACACTCTTGAGACCTTTGTTCTCACCTTGGCGGTTTGCTCGTCCATAGCCCCTCCCACCTCCTCAGCTGAATTGCTTCCTTCTCTGCTCTTCTCAAGTCCTATTTCCAGGCGGGTTTTTGAAGCGCCTTGAAACTCGTATCGCATACAAGGCTAGTCTTCGTTTCTCAGCCCTGGCAACTCCCATTTCATCCTTTTCCCACCCACCCGGCCCGTTCCCACCCGGCCCGTTCACAGCCGGACTGCTTTGAGATCTACGCTCTCGTCCCAGGCCTGCTGCGGGAAGAGGTGAGCTGAGTAGAGAAGGCTCCTTCAGGCCTTATGCGTTTTTTTATTCATTTATTTTTATATACTTGGTTTTTTTTTAACTTTTCTTTTTGCGCGCACATCTTCTTGAATTATGTACCACACTTCCTCTCCGTGCATTTTTCTTTTGAGTCGACTAGAAAATCACTTCATTCCCACCCCTAATCCTGTGCGATCGAGTGCAGAGTGAGCCATCAGGCAAACTGGTCATTGCAGGGGAGCCACAGCAACCCTTACAAAAACCTCTTCCCCGCACTTCACCACTTCTCACTCTTTCTGTTCTCTCTCCAGGTGCGCGTGCAGTGTGAGCCGGCAGGGAAGCTGGTCATTGCAGGGGAGCCAGAGCAACCAGACAACCCGTGGGGAGTGACGCCATTCAAGAAGGTGAGAACCGTTTGGATAGCCTTTTTGAGGCGCCTCGTTTTGAGTCATCTCTAAAACCGGACAACCAGACAACAAATCGGGAGTGACACCGTTCAAGGGGGTGAGACTGCAGCTGTTATATGCCTTTGTGCTGTCTCAACAACATGAGAGCGTATGTGTCTTCGACTTGTGTGGGTGCCTCGATATTGGAGCAACTGTGAAACCTGTGGAGAGTCACACCATTCATTTGAACGTGAGGTCTCTGCTTTGTTTACCATGTGAGAAGTGTTTAAAGGGAAAATTTCCCATTCACCTCCTTTTCAAAGTACTCTTTTTGCAATGCTTTTTCAATTCACCTATTTTCTATCCAGCCTTTTCCCCTAACTTTCCTTTCACCTGGCTTTCACCCTTCTTCTCCCCTCCCACCCCATCTCTCTCGCAGCGGGTGATTCTTCACTCCTGCTGCAGCCATCAATGCAAATTGGATGTCAGCAGTGGTAACCCTACACAGTCATTTGTATTTGCGAGTCCATCTCTCCCTCCCCCTCCCCACCTCCCTTCTCTCCCTGCAGGTGATTCTGCTGCCTGCAGCCATCAACGCAAATCAGACGTCAGCAGTGGTAACCCTACACGGCCAGCTGTATGTACGAGCCCCCCTCGCAAACCCTGCCCCCTCCGCCCTCTCCCCCCAGCTGACCCCCATCCCCGCCCCTGAGCTTCCCCCTCCGCCCCTGCCGCCGATGGGGGGAGGGCAGGGGCAGGGAGGACAGGGGCAAGGGGGACAAGGGCAGGGGCAGGGGAATCAGGGGAATCAAGGGCAGATGGCGCAGGGGCAGGGGGGGCAGGTTCAGGGTCAGGGTCAGCAAGGGGTGGTGGCGCAAGGAATTTCGCATGCACATGGGCATGGGTATGGGCATGGGCATGTTAAGCAGCAGTCTTTCACTCAGGAAACTAACAGACAGATGATACCCAAGGATGAAGGTGTGGAGACCTCGCCCCTGCTACAGCAGCAGCAGCAGCAGCAGGGTGGGATTGATGCAAGGGCAGGGCCACAGCAGGGACTGGCAGCAGGGCATGCAGCAGGAATGCAGCAGCAGACAAACCCTAACCAACTGTTACGGCACCAGCAGCAGCAGCAGCAGCAACCGGTGCAATCTCAGGTGCAGCCAGCACAGCAGCAGATGCAACCGCCTAGAGGTGGGCGATCAGCTGATGTGGATATGATGGGTAGGGATGGAGGTGAGGGGTTGAGGGAGGGTGGTAAGGATGGGAATGCGAGTGTGAATAAGCCGAATTTTACCACCGAGTCGCAAAATGGGATGGTGCAGCAGCTGCAGCAACCACAGCAGGGGAAGCAGGCGGAGCGGGAGACTGGTAACAATGAGATGAAGATTGGTATGGCGGTTACTGCTGCTTCGTAACCAGCAATAGAAGTTTTAGCATGAGTACACCAGTGTGGACTGCAATGACATTGATAACCCAAGAAGTGTTGACAGTTAACATGTGCTGGTAAAAAGGCCCGTCACCGAGAGTCATCATGGGTCATGACTTGCAAATAGATTGCCACACATGGTGTTGTTAATGTTGAACTATGTTGTAGAATGTTTTTCGTGTTGAACTAAGCTACTGAAGACTTGTAGACTGTTGCTGAGTTGTGTATGTATTGCCGTACTCATTCCATCTTTTCCTTATATTGCCCATTGATGGGTCACATTATACCATTGCTGACCCTGTAAGCCTTCAGTAGTTTGACAGCTCTTACTGTATTCAATTTGTGCTAGCAAGTTTGCAGTAGAACCAGAATTATACTATTGCGGTCTCCGTATTGCGTCTTTCGAACACGCCATACTCCTCCCCGATACTGTAACCCTAATTCTAATCTCGAGGAATCCTTTACATCAGAAGGGACTGAGGAGCCACTTACCTCTTCCAGCCGCCTTGGAGCGCAGATTAGGAGGGTGCAACGGTTTCGCGATCCGCCCGCCTTCCTTTCTAGACTTTCGTTTTCGTCCCCCTCTCGGCCGCCGCATTCACGTCGTTGCCGTCACCGTCAAATCCACCACCGAATCCGTCAATCCACCTGGACGAATCCGCTCGTAACGTTTTCACCCCTACACGTTCACGTAGCCTCATCGGACCTCCTTCACGCGATCCTTTACACGAAGTCGATCAGCGACGCAGCGACACCAGGCGACACCAAGCGACGCGATGGGGATCTTTCTGGACGAGCCCAAGTTCCCGGTGATCGATCGCACGCCGTCGTTCGGTCGCACGGTTGGTAACTTCACGTTCAGCGACTACAAAAACGTCGCCACGTTCACCGCCGTGTCGCTACCGTTCGGTTACCTCGCAGGTACGTCGTCGACGTAGACGCGGGCCGGTGTTGCACATGCGTTACGGAACGAGACGCTTCGCTGTTTTTTTTTCCTTGACGCGCCTCAAAAGGCGGCGCCTCAGAAATCCTCGCATGTACGGCACTGTTCAGGAACAATTACAATGCACGATCTCTGCTTAAGGATTTCCAGCATCATTCGTTTGACCAAGGTAGAAGTTATATTTCAACGTATTCGCAACGGCTCCGGCATTGTTGTCCGTGTTTTCTGATTTCTAAACCGGTGTGCTTATGAGGTGTGCAGAGTGAGTGCTTATGGCATAGGGTATGCTCATGGCAGGGGTGTGCTTGTGGGTTGTGCTTATGGGTGTTCTTATAAGGGGGGCCATTCATACAAGCACACATTCCAGCTCTTTATATGTTCTCGCTTCTCCTAGCCTCCGCTCGTGTTTCCTCCCTGTCCCAAAGCATAATGTGGAATCGCCAATGTGAAAAGCCCAGCATGTACTGTACACGTTCTCTCTGTTACCTTTCCCCCAACACTCCTGAAAATTCTCAAAAGAGAGCTTTTCCCCCTACACTCCTCCTGACGTCTCTCCCTTCCCCGTCCCATTGCATTAGGTGGGTGGCAGCACCAACCTGAGGGGGCCAGCATGTACTGTCCTGGTGCCCTTGGTCTGACAGGGGGATTATGTATGTGCACCGCAATCACATGGCCACATGGCGTCTCTATGGCATGTCCCCTCTTACCCTCCTCTCGTTTTCTCCCCATCCCACTGTCCCACCGGCATTAGGTGGAAGCGCCAACCTGAGGGGGCCCAGCATGTACTGTGCCGGTATGCTCAGGCTGATGGGCGGTTCATGTACGCGCACCAGGGTTTAGGGTGTACGCGCACACCCAGGAACCACATGCATTCCCTATGTCTCACCTTCCCCTTCACTCCTCTCGTGCCTTTCTTCCCCACCCCATTATATCAGGTGGAAGTGCCAACCTGAGGGGGCCCAGCATGTACTGTGCGGGTATCCTCGGGCTGATGGGGGGATTCATGTACGCGTACCAGCAGTCTTCTGGGCGGCTCATGGGCATGTTCCCGAACAAGTGGGAGGTGGATCGGGAGAAGTGGAGCAACTAGAGGAGGAACTAGGGTGGTTGTTTTAGGGGAAATGGGCAATCTTGGAACAGTACTAGGCGATTGCATTGGCATGAAATGTAATACTTACACCACAATAACCTTGCACATATATATCTTCACAAGGTCTTGGTACTCGTATACACAAGCCTACTTGTACACTCGATTCTCCTCAGCAGCTAGTCAGTTCTTTATTATGAAGCACCTCAATCGGCCGCATCTTAATCTGTCTCGAGTAGCACCCACTAGTGCCCGGGCTACACTTATACGCATACTTCTGGCTACCTGAAGTGGACGAACCAATCACATTTCCTTTTGAGTCCACCTGAACACTGAACGAATCTTTCCGCGAGTTCCGCAAGCTGGTTGCAGTTGGCGAGGAGGAGGATAATGGATAAGATGATGTTGATGCTGATGCAGATACCGATGGTGATACTGATGCTGACGAGGATGATGATATCGCTGCCGAGGAGGATGATGTAGATGGAGATTTTGTCGTCTTGTGGTTGTATCCACTGTCAATGTCAAACTTGCCCGATCCATATGCTGCATGACGGGATAACAGCATACGAGAACGTGTCAGTCTGGGCCCAGTCACAGCTCTGGTCGTTTCATGTGTGGCGATCACAGTCGCCTTTAACGCCCACGTTGGTCCACGGTCCACCTGGTGATTGTCGCCCCACCCGGTGATTGTCGCCCCACCCCTTGCCCCACCACCAACCAATTGCTTGCCCAAACACCCCACCTACCCCACCAGCAACTGTGACTGTGCTTGCTTGAACCTATTAAGGAAACCCCATGACTCACAGTCAGAAGAAGTTTGCTTGATGCGGAGTGGGAATGAGAAGGGTGTCAGTCTGGGAGGAAAGCACAGCCCTGGTTGTTCCATGTGTGCTGGCCGTCCCAGTCGTCTCGTCTTGACCCCCGCGTTGTCCCACCAGATTATCGCCCTCTTCCCTCCCTGCTGACTTGTGAGTTAACTCAAAAGTCCGCCAGTTTATCACCCCCTTCCTCCCTGCCCCGCCATCACCAGCTTATTCCCCCCCATTCCTCCCTCTCCCCCCACTTCCCCCCTGCCCAACACAAGTTGTGGTTGTGATCATCCCTATTCAGAAAACCCGAATGACTTACAATCAGAAGAAGCTTGCTTGATTCGAAGTGGGAACGAGAACGTGTCAGTCTGAGAGGACAGAACAGCCCTGGTTGTTCCGTGTGTGGCAGTCACAGTTGTCCTAACGCCAACGTTGTTCCACCAGGTGATGGCCGCCCCGCCTCCCTGCACCATTGCTGCTGCATCCACTGACAGGGAGGATGTGACGAGAGTGGTAACCGGGCCGTCAGCTGTGGCAACGGTGCCTGGTGTGACAGCAACAGGGGGGTGTGATTGTAGAGGGGGGTATGGAAGTGAGTGGCAGACACAAGCATGAATGCTGCTGATGTTGTTCCATCCGGTAGTTGCCATCCCCCCCCTTTCCCTGCACCACCTCCTGCTGAATCCCCTGAGGGGGGAATGCAACCAGTGTGGCGACCGAGCCATCAGCAGTGGTTACTGTGGTTGGTTTGATCTAGCAACAGGGGGGTGTGATTGTAGAGGGAAGTGTGGAAGTGAGTAGCAGACACAAGTGTGACTGGAAATGATGTTTCCATCATTACTTGGTTACACACACTGTAACAACACCAACACGCCCACTGACCTGAGATGGAGTAGTCACGCGCAGCAACCGTGCTGTATTTCCCGTCGATGCTCAGCCGCACTCCCATCAGCCGCAGCGCTTTCACCACCGCACTCTCAAACAGCTTCACCTTCTCTTTCCTCTTGCTGGGAGCCACTTTGATGGTCGGTGGGGGCCCAGCAGTAGACGTTACTCCGGAGTCCGCCCACACGTGCACGATCCCTGTCAGGTACCATGCAGCCCCAGGCTTTGCATTCACCACCGAAACCTTAATTTCGTGCGGCTGCCCATCGGATAAAACCCCCGCGAACGGGGTCACGTCGAGGGTAACTGTGGGGAAGCCGAAATTCCCGATTCCCACTGCGGGTGACCAGAGCAGCGGGTTGAACGCCCCGGTGTAAAGTGGGGCGAAAGGGTAAATTGCCCCGGCAAATTGGTCGTCAATGAAAAGATTCAGCTCGCGAAAGGGACCGCCTTCCGGCTTGAATTTGGGCTTTAAAGAACTAGGAAGGCTATTGTAGAATTTATTGGGGAAATAAAGGTAATAAAACTCGTCGTCCGCGTGCATTGACATAGTCAGCTCCACCTTCGCTTTAATCACATTAGTTGGAAAGCCGGAGAGTGTTTGTATAGCACTGCGGGTAGTGGCTGAGGCTCCGGAAAGAATGTAAGGGGAGGAGGAGGAGGAGGAAGGGTAGGTGGTGGAGAAAGGGAGGAGGAGGGAAGGGGGAGTGGAGGGGGGTGTTCCTTTGTAGGCTGTGAGGGCGATGGTGACGTTGAAAATCCCAGTGTATTCACCGTCGACGACGTTCTCTAGAATCACATAGACAGTGGATGCCTGGAGGGGTGGAGGATGGGAGGGGGGGAGAACAGGTAAGGGGGAACGAGGGGGAGTGGGAGGGGGAGAGAGGGGGAAAGGGGGGAGGAGATATGGCATGGGATGGAGTGACATATGAGTGGCATAGAATGGGATGGGATGGCATGACATGGCATGGGATGGCATGGCATGGCATGGGATGGGATGGGATGGGATGGGATGGGATGGGATGGGATGGGATGGGATGGGATGGAATGGGATGGGATGGGATGGGATGGGATGGGATGGGATGGGATGGGATGGGATGGGATGGGATGGGATGGGATGGGATGGGATGGGATGGGATGACATGACATGGCATGGCATGGGATGGGATGGCATGGCATGGCATGGCATGGCATGGCATGGCATGGCATGGCATGGCATGGCACGGCAAGATGTTGGACAGTAGCAAGTAAAGAGAAGAAATGGGTGTAAAAGGTGGGGAGAAGGGAGGAGATGAGGAGGAGAGGAGAGGAAAAAGGGAGGAGGAAAGAAGAAGAGGAAGAGAGGAGTGGTGGAGGGAGGAGGCAAGGAGAGGAGAGAGCTGAGATAAAGAGGAGGAAGGAAGAGAAAAGGATGTGGCTGCTTACGGTTTTAAGCATGGGTGCATAATTGGTGACGTCTCGCTCAAACGAGTAGTGAATCTCTGTTCCCAGTGGCTCCGCAGTGCTGTTAACGAAAACAGATGGGGCGAAAGGAAAAGGAAGGACGATGGAGCTAACAGGGGACGATGGGGCGAGTATGGGGGGCGATGGAGGGGGGGGGGAAGGGGAGAGGGGATGGGAGAGGATAGTGGATGGGAGAAGGTTGAAAGAGATGAGGAGGATGATAAGGAGGAGAATGAGAGACTCAGGTACACTATAATCAGATTCACTCTCAGTTACCACACAGCACTCACATTGATCTAGAAACCTCGAAACCGCCGAAGAAAATGACCATGCGCCGGTCAAACTGCACGCCTTTCACCTTCACGCCCACCGACAGCACAGCCAGCGACCAATCCGCCTGCGACACGTGGCATAAAGATTGAAACAAATCATGCGGCGCGTCAGTTTGCGGCCAACATCCAACCGTTCACTCGCCGGCCTCACGTCGGATCTCCAAGCCAATCTCATTAATGCGCCAACGTTGAGAATTCTATTAAAAAACAAACAAACTAACTAACTAAAACCTCTCCTTACCACGCATTCCATGACCTTTCTCAACCTGGGAAAGGTAACGAACCTGAGGTACCTTCCCCCCATCCAAAGAGTCTCCGCGCACTTTTTTTTCCCTTACATTACCTCGGCCAAAATACCCCCAAACGACCATCCTCCCCCACATTTTGTCCCACTCACCCCTTTTTCTTCTCTGTTTCCCTCGCCCTTTCTCATCACAACATACTGCCTCACCACAGCTTCTGAATCTTGTCCCAGCTAACAAGTCTTATCGCTCTTTTTTTCCTCTTTATAACGCGTACAGTCCTACTCACCGAGGCGCAGTTCGGGTCGGGGGTGTACGAAGTTTGCGTCGGCGGGTTACCAAGCGTAAAAGCGAAAGGTTCATCCGTGAACAGTGTTACTGTACACTCCACGGCCCCTTGCGGCCGCACAATCGGTCTCGCCACTTCGAACACGGTGTACGGCGCATTCGGGTCCGTTTCCTCCTTTGGTACGACATTCGCGAAAGTGGTAACCCCAGCCCTAGTGCTACTTTCGCTCGCGCCGCCTTCGCGAGACGCCGCCGCCGCGTACTGTTCGCGTAACACAGTAACGGCTCGTGTAAGGTTTCGCATCGCGAGAAACTGTTGCGGCACTCTCCACGTTTTCGCCGTCCTTTGCACGCCGAAATCGGTGCCGCGGGAGCCGCCGCGATTGACGGGGTCGCCGGAGGCGACGGCGAGAAGCAACGCGAACATTAGCAACACGAGGAGGAGAACAGGGCCGAGGCGCGTGTTCACGGGTCGTTGAAGCGCGCCGCGAAACGACCGCAATACTACGCGAGGAATTGATTTCATGCTGGGCCTGGTACCACCGCTGCTGATGCTGCTGGTAGTTGGACGGTTTGCAGTCCTCGCCATGCCTGCCTAAGAAAACTTGTCTCGAGAACTTGACGTCGCGTCTACCGAATTGTATCTGCATGGGCTGAAGTACTGTGAAGGTGTTCCAACAGCCACCGAAATCGCCGTTGTGTGCCAACAGTTTGCAGGCACTCGCCCCCAAGGTGCGACGCAGGACAAGAACCATCGACTACACCTGATGCTCAAACCCTGCGCGCGAAGTTTTCCGTCATATTTAGAAAAACTGCACCCGAGCTTTTGATGCCGGATAGTTGCATCCAGTTTACAGGCCCCCGGAGCAAGTTGCAGTGATGATGAACCAATGGTCAAAAAGAGACCAACGTCAAACTTTCAATTCAGTTATGATGAACCAATGGTAACACGAAAAGACTGACGTCGAACCGTCAACGTGTAACACGAAATTTTTGTAAGCCCTTTTTGCTAGCTGCGACATTGACGAACCTTAGCGAAATGCAAAAAACGCTTACAAGCCAAATGCTCTAGGAAATGATGGGAAGCTCAAACGAACATTTGCTGTATCTCTGTAGAAAGTACAAAGCGACGGTCAGACGTCCGGTGTGATAGTAGATTGGCCAGGTGTCTCGAGGCGTAGAACATACCATTGCACATGATGCCTCTGAGAGTCCCAATGTGTTACCTGGCAGTTTGAACTCGAAGAAGCACCTCATATTTATGGGTCAAATTGGGATTGTTTGTAGTATCCAAGTTACCAGCTTAATCTGTATCGCGCGAACGGTGGGTTGAGTCGCTTGGTTTTTCTAGCAACGTTCGTTAACTCTTCCGCAAGTACACAAAGTTAAATGGCAAGGGTCATAACAGTTCATTGCGCGTGGGTCTGTAATTACTGGCCCGTTACCCGTAAAGCCAGACCAGTTGGGTTGTCGAGTGTACCTGGGAGTGTGAAGGATGGGCGGTTTTGCAGGCATCATTTGTATGTGTGGTAGATTCGGTGGGGCTCCTTCTGTGGTCCTCGTGGTGCGGAGGACGGGTGGTTCGTACAACGAGTTTCGTACCCTAAACCCTAAAACCTAAACCCTCTTTCTCGCTACACTGACCCACACGTAACTGACTAGCAGATCTTGTCTTATTCAAATTGGCTAAATAAACCCTCTTACTAAACCGTAGTATAATACAAATGAACCGCCCTATAACGTGATATTTCACTTCTCACGTCAGTATAGCAGGCGTCAGTCTAGCGAAAAACAAGGTGTAGAGCACAAAGAAGGCCGAATGGCGGCTGTGGTTCTGTACTGTAAGTAAAGGCGTCTGTGGTCCACTAGACGACAAGCCGGTTTCTAGAATCTTCGCTAGCGGAGCCGAGTGCTTGAAACCAGAAACAGGCGGCACACTATGTGCTGCATGCCAGCTGGATCGTACGGACGGGATGCACTTGGAGGTAGATACTGAATGAGAGGTTGATAGAGAAGTGAAAGATAATTGCCTGTTAAATTCCGACCATCTTCCCCTCTCAGAGGGGTTCCAGCAGTTTCACGACAAGAACGTTTGCCCACACGGCTTCCAATTTCCAATGCTGTAAAATATGAAGAGATGCGGCTCCAACTTTGGACACCAATGTGCAACGAATCTGGGTCGTACAACCCATTCTGGTTACCAGATCGAATGTCAGACGATTACAGCCGCAAGCCACGGTGTGATGTGCACTTCCTGGGCAGGCTAACAAATATCTTTAGGGGAAAAAGCGTCTCAAAATTCGGGAAATTAGGCTGAAACCGAAGTCCACTCTACGCTCGAACAAACATGACACTTGATCAAATACACCTGAAATTTCATGCTCTAACTCGCTACGGAAAGGCGAAACAGCGTATTGATCTGTGATTAGATGCGAGCTTGTAGCCGAAATTGCGATTTTCATGCATGAAACACCGTGGTGTCCAAAGTGTGGCAGGACCCCACCACGGACACCATCCTTAACAGTTGCGAGCCTCGTGGGCAGACTTTCTTGTCAGGTCACTGTGGGAACGCCTTCTCAGCAATTTAGGAGGTCCAAACGAGAATGCGACGAGGGGGAAGGAAGAGCAACAACATTCGCGCCCACATTTCAGCCAGATCCATTTTTGCAAGAACTCAAAACTCGCATGCGAGTTGCTCCTTGCATCTCCAGTTCATGGGCAAACCATCGATTTTGGGCAAAGAAAATGTACACCCTAGGGGGAACGGGGCTGTCCATTGGGAGGCATCTAGCCTCTTCACCATGTTTCGGGCAGCAGAAAGACGGCAGCTGCTATGGAATGTAAAACGGAACGAACTGTGCACACTCGATGAGATTCGATTCTTCTCCCTCTCAGCAATGCAACAAGCGGCTCGACTCCACCTCCCTTCACATGCTAGACAAAGGGAAGGATGGTGCAACAAGCGGCTCGACTCCACCTCCCTTCACATGCTAGACAAAGGGAAGGATGGTGCCAAATTCATGTACTTTGCCTGTGGACTACCGAATTTGGTCCGAGTCGCAGTGGCCCTCGGTTCGTGCCGTGGCGGACTTCGAACGACGTTTCCCAGTCAGACCCGAACCTGCACCCAAGCCAGGCATTCTCGATGTTGTGTGGTGAAAAGCCGCTGATGTCAATGCGGTTCAGTCGAGCATTTCGAGCACAATGAAACCTAGCCGGAACTAGCTCAGGTTCGGTATTTATTGTTCAGTACACTTCAATGCATACCAAACCTAAGCTAGTTGTGGCAGTGTTATGCGACGGCAGCACGTTCCGTGCTCCACCAACTTGAACCTTCACTGCTGGCGGTAAAGCTTCGCTAATGCGAGCACACATCACGTCATGACAACACTGACATAAAAAAAGCTGGAAATGTGCTCGTTGATAACTCATTGATAGAAGTAAGGTCTGAGTTTAATGTCACCATCCTTGTCAAAACAATTACCTATATTTCCTCTCATTTGCAGCTGTTACGAGTGCAATTGAGTGAACGGACGAGAATTGCACTATCGAAGCAAGAGTACAATGAGCGAAGGCATGAGCGAAGAATATATAGCGAAACTACAGTGGTAACGGTAATGGTCGCGCGACGAGCCTGGGACTGAGGTTGGGAAAGTGTCGAAGCGTAGGCCCGGAGCGCGGGTTACCAGCCGAGCCGTAAGGTCGGGATGCGATGTGCGAAAATGGCGGGATGATGAATGATGCGATGGTCGCGAGTGGTAACGGTGCTGACTGAGGTGCTACAGTGATGTACGTGTTAAGCAGGGACGCGAAGTAAGGAAAAAGGGGGATTTCCTTACACTACCCCCCCTCCTAAGGAGGTCCTCTTTACGAAAGTGCGTGGACGTCTCTGAAATTTCGGCTGCGCAGATAGTCCGTGACGACAGGGTGGTTTTCGACTTTGTCCAGGGGAACCCACTTGTCCTCGGTGGGGGTACGATCTTTCGAGCGGATCAGAAACTCCACTTTTCGGGCTCCTCGAGGGTCATGAACTCTGTGGCTCAGGATTTTATCGGGTGTGATGACTGGTTCGGTTGGTGGTCGTGTCATGCTGGAGGGTCGATGTCGAGGGAGTTGGCTGGTGGATGGTACGTAAGGGCGAAGCAGGCTGACGTGGAACGAGGGGCTGACGAAACAGTCAGCAGGAAGAAGGAGGTGCGCGGTGACAGGCGTGATCATGTGACTGATTCGAAATGGCCCACTGTAACGAGGGCGGAGTTTGGGAGTGATGGGCAGGCGGAGGTTCTGAGTGTCGAGTAAAACGAGGTCGTCGGGCTGGTAAGTGACGGGTCTGCGGTGGCGATCGGCGTTGCGTTTAGCGATGATATTTGATTTTTTTATTGCTTCTGCTGCCCTGGTCCGTGCTGCTTGCAGAATCTCGGCGAACTGTTGTGCTCGTGGGACGGGGTTGTCGGGATTCGGTGTCATGGGTATTGTTGGGTCCTGTCCGTAATTTAAGTAAAACGGCGACTGTTGTGTCGTGGCTGATGGCGCGTTATTGTATGCGAACTCGATGAGGGGCAGCTGCTGTTCCCACGTGTTCGGATCGTCGCACGTGGCTCGAATCAGCTGCTCCATGGTTTGGTTTGTCCGTTCCGTCTGTCCGTCGGTTTCGGGGTGATAGGATGAACTGAATTGAAGTCGCGTGCCGAACTGCTGCCACAAGTTCCGCCAGAAGTTGCTG